CCATCACTCTATGTAGTTCAGAAACATTTTCTTCACACCAAAAGGATTCTCCCCACTTGTTCAGCAATCACTCCTCATTTCCCCCTCCCCAGCCTCCAGCAGCGTCTAATCTGCTCTCTGTCTCTATGGATTTGCCTATGCTGGATATGTCCTGCAAATGTAGTCAGATTTGGGCCAGCTTTTTAATGAATTATTTCATTTAATCCTCCTGACTGTACTATGAGATAGATGTTAATTAGTTCCTTAACAGATGAATAAAATGAGGCCATGAGATGGTAATTTGCGTTAAGTCCCACAGAAGAAAACAAGTAAAGGTCTACCCATCCATTAGTCAACCATTTATTCAATGAATACTTATTAAATGCCCACCACAGAGCCACAGCCAGCCCATATGGCAAGCATTGCAAAATAGCAAAAGGCCACCTGCTAGATGCCCCACAGCATGGAGAGCAGAGAGCAGGCTGGATACTGGCACCCACCGGCCCATCAGCCAGGAGCTCTGGTGCAGTGAACAACCTTCCGTGGCAGCCCTGGCAACCACGTGGTAGGCTCTGTGCCACCTGCTGGGGAGAGTTCCTGCCGCCATACAGCTTTCATTCTGGTGGTGAAGAGTGACAATATACAAGTAAGGAAATAAATACGATCATTTCAGATAATGGTTAGTGCTATGAAGAAAGTGAAATAGCTTCGAGTGATGGAGTTGTGGAAGGGGCTGCTATCGTTTTTCTTTTTTAATAGCTGTGACTTCTATGGGTGACAGTCTTTTTAAAAAAATATTTATTTATTTATTATTTATTTTGGCTGTGCTGGGTCTTAGCTGCAGCACCCGGGATCTTCATTGTGGCATGCAGGATCTTTAGTTGCGGCATGCGGACTTCTTAGTTGCGGCATGTGGGCTCTTAGTTGCAGCATGCATGCGGGATCTAGTTCCCCGACCAGGGATCGAACCCGGGACTCCTGCATTGGGAGTGCAGAGTCTTATCCACTGGAGCACCAGGGAAGACCCAGGGCTGCTATTTTATATTAGGTGGTCAGAAAAGGGGGGGACTCGCTGAAGGGGGGATGTTTGAGCTGAGATCTGAACAAGAGTGAGTGAGCAACCATGCCAATATCTGGGAAAAGAACATTCCAGAAAGAGGGAACAGCCAGAACAAAGATGGAGAAGCAAGATCGTGGCTTGTTCAAGCAACAGAAAGGAGGCCGGCTGGATGGGGTTCAGTAAGTGGGGAGAGATGGGAGGAGCTGCATGACAGGCCTGTCCAGAGCCAGCTCAGGTGGTGCTGCACTGGGTCCTTCCCTCCGTGAGATGACGGGAAGCCATTGATGATTGGGGGACCAAAGGACTGGCCTTCTTCGGCTTCTGTGTGAAGAATGGACTAGAAGAGGCCAAAGCAGAAGCGGGGCGGCCAGTCAGGGAGCCGTTGCTATCATCCCGGAGGAGAGGAATGTGGCATCCGGGTGGTCAGGCAGAAACGGGGAGAAGTGCTCAGATTCTGGATGTACCTGAAGGTGAAGTCAACACGATTTGCTGACTGGATATGGGGTTTGAGAAAAAGAAAGGGAGTAAGAATAACTCCAAAGTTTTGACCTGAGCAACTGGGAGGATGGCGTTGTGGGAGACTGCAGAGGTGACAGCTTTGGAAGGGCAACGTGTACCTCAGTTTTGGACGTGCTACTTGTGAGATGCCCGTGATTCATCCAACAACATACGACGTAGGTAACGGCGTAAACCAGCCTGAAGGCGGCAGAAGGCAAGGGCCAGAAATATAAATTGAGGAACCAGTAAAAAGTGGATGGTTTTTTGTGGGTTTTTTTTTTTTGCGGTATGCGGGCCTCTCCCTGTTGCGGCCTCTCCCGTTGTGGAGCACAGGCTCCGGACGCGCAGGCTCAGCGGCCATAGCTCACGGGCCCAGCCGCTCTGCAGCATGTGGGATCTTCCCGGACCGGGGCACGAACCCATGTACCCTGCATTGTCAGGCGGACTCTCAACCAGTGCGCCACCAGGGAAGCCCAAAAGTGGATGGTTTTTTAAAGCTGGTCATCTAGGTGAGGCCCCAAAGAGAAGTGCAGAAAGAGAAAAGGGTTGAGGGCTGAGCCCTGGAGCACTCGGGGAGCAGAGGTCAGGGACTGGAGGAGAAGCAGGAAAAGAGACTGGGGAGCGGCCCGCATGGTGAGAGTCAGACAGGCGAGGGAGGTGCCCTGGAGGTCAGAGAAGAAAGCGCTTCAAGGGCAAGGGCTTCACCAGCTACGCCAAATGCTGAGGCTAGGTCAACTAAGACAACACGAACTGAAAATTGACATTGAATTTGGCCGTGTAGCCGTCACTGGTGACCTTGACAAGGACAAGGTCACTGATTTGTCAGGGACAAAGGCCCAACCGGAGCGATGCATGGGTATGGGAGCAGAGGAAGTAGAAACAATGCCGTCAAGGAATTTTGCTATAAAAGAAGCAGAGAAATGGGGCAGACATGGGAGGCGAGTGTGGGATCAAGGAAGGATTTTTTCAAGGCTAGGAGCTTTTAGACCACGTGTGTATGCGGGTCAGAATAATCCAGAAGAGGGAGGAAACTGATGATGCAGAAGGAAGAGAGAAGGGACAGTGGGGGTGGGAAGTCCTTAATGACATCGAGGGGTGTGGGGTTGAGCGCACAGGTGGAGGGCTGGCCTTGGGCAGGAGCAGGGAGGTTCCCTCTGAGGAAGGAGGAGGGTCAGGTGAGTGATAGGAGCCTTAAGGAGTTTTCTTCCCATGGCTTCTGTTTTTGCAGAGAAATAGGAAGCAGTGTCATCAGCTGAGAGTGAAGAGTGGGGAGCGGGTGCTGGGGTTTGAGGAGAGAAGAGAAGGTGTAAGTTCATCATCCTGGGGCTTTGGAGAGAGAATGGAGTGTGGTAGGCTTGCCAGGCAGCATCAGGACCCCCTTGAGGTGAGCGGCATGAATTTAAAGTGATATCAGTAAGGGTGGCTGAATGTTTTGTTTTCCAGCCACTCCAAGTGTGCAGGTGGGGAGAAGATGGAGCCTAGAATTTAATCAGGATTGGGGCCTTGCCAGGCAAGTCTGATAAAGCCAGAGAGGGGTAAGGAGCTGTAGGCAAGGCAGTGGTTGACATGATGGCCCAGACAATCAGGCCAGGTAAAGAGGAAAGCGAGGATGGGGTCGGGGAGGGGTGAGGAACCCTGAAAAAAGTGGTAGGACTGATAGATAGGAGCAATTACTGACGTACTAGAGAAAGTTGAAAACGTAGAAGGTGGTGGGCAGATGACAGCATATAGAAATGGAGGTTACCCAGGGGATACAGACAAGCCCTAGACATGAACCATGGAGTGGTCCTGAGGTAGGGTTTACAGACCAGTGGTGGCTTTACTATTCTCTGAAACATATCAACTCAACCTGCTGAATCGGAGGTCCAATGATTATGTGCTAACAGCTCTATGAGTACATGGCAGAGGCAGAATTTGAACCCAGGTCTTCTGCCTCTAGGTCCAGCACGTTTCCAGATACATCCCCACTGCTCCTATGAGTAACACCGTCAAGGTGTTCCATTCCTCACAATCATTTGAAGTGACAGATAGCAATCACTGCTTTTCAAAGATTTGCTTATATTTCCCAAAGGAGGCTCGGGGTGCTGCTACTAGAAGAACCAGGAATGAACGCTGAGCAAGCAAAAGAATGAGGTGTCCCGGTCCCCAGCCTGTACCTACTTCCTCCTCCACCTCACCCAACCCCTCCCTGTGGCAGACCCAGGGCTCTTAGCCTTGGGGTAGTTGCGTCCCCTTTAAGAAGCTGATGAGAACCCCGACTGCCCTCAGCCCACACACCAGCCAGCTCCGTTATGGTGACCTGCAGCCCCACCGTCATGATTAGTGATAATGAACCAGGTTATGACCTGGATTTATTTTGTATACCTAATCATTATGCTGAGGATTTGGAAAAGGTGTTTATTCCTTGTGGACTAATTATGGACAGGACTGAACAGCTTGCTCGAGATGTGATGGAGGAGATGGGAGGCCATCACATCGTGGCCCTTTGTGTGCTCAACGGGGGGCTATAAATTCTTTGCTGACCTGCTGGATTACATCAAAGCACTGAACAGAAATAGCGACAGATCCATTCCTATGATGGTAGATTTTATCAGACTGAAGAGCTACTGTAATGACCAGTCAACAGGTGACATAAAAGTAATTGGTGGAGAGACTTCCCTGGTAGCACAGTGGTTAAGAATCCGCCTGCCAATGCAGGGGACATGGGTTCCAGCCCTGGTCCGGGAAGATCCCACATGCCGCGGAGCAAGTAAGCCCGTGAGCCACAACTACTGAGCCTGCGCTCTAGAGCCCACGAGCCACAAATGCTAAGCCTGCTTGCCACAACTACTGAGGCCCAAGCGCCTAGAGCCCGTGCCCCACAACAAGAGAAGGCCCCGCAATGAGAAGCCCACGCACCATAACAAAGAGTAGCTCCCGCTCACCGCAACTAGAGAAAGCCCACGTGCAGCAGCGAAGACCCAACGCAGCCAAATAAATAAATAAATAATTTTTTAAAAAAGGTAATTGGTGGAGATGATCTCTCAACTTTGACTGGAAAGAATATCTTGATTATTGAAGGTATCATTGACACCGACAAAACAGTGCAAACCTTGCTTCCCTTGGTCGAACAGCATAATCCAAAGATGGTCAAGGTTGCAAGTTTGCTGGTGAAAAGGACGCCTCAAAGTGTTGGATATAGACCGGACTTTGTCACATTTGAAACTCCAGGCAAGTTTGTTGTAGGATATGCCCTTGACTATAATGAATACTTCAGGGATTTGAATCATGTTTGTGTCATCAGTGAAACTAGAAAAGCAAAATATAAAGCCTAAGATGAGAGTTCAAGTTGAGTTTAGAACCATCTGGAGTCCCACTGAAATCACCAGTAAAATTATCAAATATTCTAGTTCTGTGGCCAGCTGCTTAGTAGAGCTTATTGTATGTATCTTCTAAGAATTTTATCATCTGTTTTGTATTTTAGAAACGTCACTTGCTGCATGCCTGAACTCTATTTGCACGATGAGCCTATAGACTATCAGTTCCCTTTTGGTAGATTGCTCTTTGATTCGTGAATGAAAAATCCCTTAAACCACATCACTATTGAATGAAAATATTGAAATTGTATCTGTAAGAAACATTTAAAGCAAAGAATATATTAGTTTTTAAATTGGTATTTTAATTTTTATATATTCAGGAAAGAACAGAAGTGATTGAATATTGTTCATTATACCACTGTGTGCTTAGAAAAGTAAGAAGCAGTCAGTTTCATATCAGTGACAGCATTTAGAGTTATCATTGTGTTGGATAAACCATATGTCCTGGAATTATTTTAGTAGGTTTCGGTAGTATTAACTGTATTTTCCCACGGGTTCAGATTATTTCCGGTGAATCTTTGTCAACGGTTCCTTTTAAATACAGATCAATAAGTTCCAAAAACCTGCCACTTTTTTGAGTCTTCAATGTAAAATCCTTAAAATAAAGGCTGTCTCTTTTTTTTTTTTTTTTTTCTTGCAGTACGCGGGCCTCTCACTGTTGTGGCCTCTCCCGTTGCGGAGCACAGGCTCCGGACGCGCAGGCTCAGCGGCCACGGCTCACGGGCCTAGCCGCTCCGCGGCATGTGGGATCTTCCCGGACCGGGGCACGAACCCGCGTCCCCCGCATCGGCAGGCGGACTCAACCACTGCGCCACCAGGGAAGCCCAAGGCTGTCTCTTTAAAAAAAAAAAAAAAAAAAAGCAGCTGATGAGAAAAACAAAATTCATTTGCACACCCAGTCACAAGTATGTTCACAGGCTTGGCAGGGAGTAAGGGCTCAATAAAAACTTGTCGAATGAATGAATGGTTGGAATTCCAGGGGTCTCACTTGCCCTCTTGGGGTTAAGAACTGGTGTTAACACACCAGTTCCTGCACACTGAAAACAAGCTCTCTGACCTGGTCATCCCTGAAGTAAGGTCAAAGGATATATTCCCAGTGGTGCTTCCCAGACCTACACCTGAGACTAGGGAAACACTTGGACATCACAGCTTCTACGGTTTCCTAACTTGCTCAAGGCAGACCAGCCTGTCTGGGGCCATGGTATTCCGCAAAGCCCTGAGGGAGAGCTTGCTAAACCTCCTCTATCCCAGTCAAAGCACCCTGAAACTCCAGTATAATTACCTCAGATGGTTGCAACATCCAGGTTCATGGGACAACTTCCTCCCAAGCCACCAGCTCCAACTTGCCGCAACGGATTTATAATTGGACATCACAGGTGCCCAGTGTGATGAGGTAGCCATCTGCGGCACCCTGTGATCAGTTACCTCTTGGGTAACCGGATCTGGGAGGAACAGAACTCAGCAGACCTGGCAGAGGATGACCACACCCTCTCCCAAGGGATGTAACACCCAGGCCAGTGGCCAGAGGTGGCAGAACAGCGGGACAGAGTGGCCCCATCAGGCTGCCCCTCGCAGCCCTGCCTCCCTGGGTTCCCTGCAATAGGAATAGTCATCTCTTCCACATTCTCACTTTCTCCTGGGGTCTGGAAAGGAGGAAAGTAGGTCCCACCTGAGACCCCAGGAGTGTTGGAGGATTCCCGAGTGGAAATCCTCTGGTGGCCAGCACCACTCATGCCTGGGAAAAGGCATTTCTTCCCACGGGAACAGGAAGCCCACCCCTGCGTGCTATTGCACACACACCCACTCCGATGGCCCAATCAGAACAAGCGTCCCTTCCTCAGGGTGTGGGCAAGGATGGAGCACCAACATGCTTTCAGGGAAAAAGGGTTAAGAAAAGGGTGGGACATCCCTATGACATTGATGAATGAATCATGAGAGCTAATGGGCTTGCGTCATCACTACTCCTTATCCTCAAATAACATGTGAAGTGAGATTGAGCAGCCAGGAAGCCATCCCCGCTCTTCAGCCAGGCTACGGATCCTGCAGGAAGGAAGGTGTGTCTATGGCCGGTGCAGTTTACTCCCATAAAATGTGCTTTGTATTCTAAGTAGGCTTGCTGTTTTTTGAGGCCAAGGACAATGAGTCATTTGTGTCGGGTGCTAGTGGTTCTAGGATTTCATAGCGATCTGGGGGTGAAGCAAGGACCTGGTGTACCTTAAAGGCAAGACGCCCTGAAAATGCATGCCTGCCCTTCTCTGCCGGCCCACCCTTGCCTTTTAAAGGGCCCCCACTCAATCATGACACAGCACAGAGATGAGCAAATTATTTTTCTGGAATAAAACCTCTAATGCTTTCTGAGTATCTAAGGGCTGGCTTTTTAAAATCTTTTGTAAGACTCTGGAGGTGATACATGCAGATGGTAGCCAGCCCCTGTGAACGCTGGAAAAGAATTTTACCCTGCTTGCTATCTAGGCAGGACCATTTAGCAGGCCCAGTGCGGAGTTAAGCTCTCTGGCTGTGGATCCAATTGTCTGGGATCAAAGCTGAGCTCCACCACTTAACACCCTTAGGAAGCATCAGTTTCCTCATCTGTAAAATGGGGATAATCACAATGAAACCTGCCTCAAGAGGTGGGGAGCCCATGAGGAGGTGTCAGTACCTTTTCCTCATACCTGTAAATGTTCAGTAACAGTTAGTCATTCCAATGGGGGTTTGCTGGCATTCTATGTAAGACCTCTGCTTGCAGTACTGGGTAATTTCATTCTAACCAAGGTCGATAAAAGTCTGTTATGCTTTAAGAAGGTCCTGAGCTTTGAACTATGTGAACCCTCTTTGGGGTGTTGATACCAGCTTCTGGCCTCACAGGGTTCCTCGGGGCCAAATGGCCTTTGTCAAGCAGTTTGTATAAAAGGGACTTCATCCAAGCCTTGTTGGATTAACTGGGGCTTCCTTTAAATAAGGGCTTGTTTTCAGAAGCTTTCTTTTTCCAACAAGGGAAAAGAACACAATGGATTCCAAGTAATCTACAGTCCTCATCACAGCTTGTCACAAACACCTGGCACATCTTTTCAGCCCAGAGTGCAAACACACACACTCCCTCACTTGCTAACTTCAGGAATACAGCCCCAGCCTGATGTTTCAAAAGCATTTGCTGACAAACTTCCTCTCACTTATAGTTATTTCCTGGAAGAACAGCAAAAACTGTTTTTGAATTGACAATATGGCTTTAGTTGTTGCTGAAGTTAAGTGAAAGTACAATTGTTACCACCTATTTACCTTAAAAAAAAAAACCTGAAAACAATTACTTTTTCTTTTTTTTTTTTTTGCTGATCAACATTTTTCAAGCAAAGACAGGACTTAGGAATTGGGTTCATGTGTTGCTTATTTCAAAAAAAGAAAATTTCTTAATGTTTTTTGGGCAACATTTTAACTTGGTGCTTCAAAAAGCAATTGTGATGAAGAGTAGAGAGAGTTAAAGCACTTATGGAATAGATAGACACCGGCATCTGGGGTTGCACATAACAAAGAAATAAATATTTTTCAAAATATTCTAGGAGCCAAGACACAGGGGCATGCTTTAGGAATGTAATAGGGTGGGAGGTATATTGGAACTACCCATTTCCTTTAAAATCACTGAGGAAAACGAAGCAGCATTCGGCTTCACATACTGACTTTACACAGTTTATCTGTAATAGCTTGACTTAAATCCAAGAAGCAAAGATGGAACTCTCACTCTGTTTATTTTGAAAAATAATTGCATGGACACCCTCTCCTTGCGTTTCCCTGAGACACAACAATATTGAAATCAGAGCAATTAATAACTCTACAACGGCCTCTAAGTGTTCAAGGGAAAGAAAGAGTTAATTGATCCAGACGTCATTGTCTTATTTTAAGAAACTGTCACGGCCACCCCAAGCTTCAGCGACCACCACCCTGACCAGTCGGCAGCCACCAACATCGAGGCAAGACCCTCCACCAGCAGCAAGATTCCAACTCGCTGAAGGCTCAGAAAATTGTTAGCATTTTTTAGCAATAAAGTATTTTTTAATTAAGGTATATACATTGTGTTTTCTAGACATAATGCTATTGCACACTTGATAGACTACAGTATAGTTTAAACCTAACTTTTATATGCACTGGGAAACCAAAAATTTCATGTGACTCGCTTTACTGCATTATTCGCTTTATTGTGGTCTGGAACTGAACCCACAGTATCTCTGAGGGATGCCTGTAATATGCTTATAAAAGAGGCCTGAGAGAGCTCCCTTGCCCTTCGGCCCTATGAGGACCTGAGACCTGGAACGGGGTCCTCACCAAACCATGCTGGCACCCTGATCTTGGACTTCTACCCTCCAAAACTGTGAGAAATAAGTGTTTGTTGTTTATAAATCACCCAGTCGTTTGTTATGGCAGCCCAAAGGGACCGCGACAGACCGCATCTCCAAAAGCAGCAGCCCCAAAGCTACAGATTAGCTATGAAAAATACACAACCATTTTCAGTATCAGTTGATACCACCGAGGAAACACAGACCTCTTTAGCTCCACAGCCCCACAGTGGAGCACGGGGCTGCCCCCATGAGTCTTGGACAGTTCCAAAATCACGTGTCCTTTTTCAGTTGTTATGCGCAAATGATAACGAATTTCATTACCTTTCCTTTTCAGGTCCAACAGCAGGCTTCTTACTAGCAACATTCGAACTGAAGGTGACTAAAATCTGGCATTTGGAAAGTAAAATGGCTTGAAGACTGCTAAAAATCTCTGCTTCAGAGTTACACTAGGAGGCCTGGCTGCCCTGAACCCCTGGCGACCTGGCAAAACTCCTGTATGTGCCAAGAGCTGGAATTCCCGCTATTTGCAGGAAGGCGGCTTTCAGAGCAGTGAATTAGCAGCCTTGTGTGGAGTTAGTCATGCTGCTAGTCTTACTTTTTTAAAAAATAAATTACCTTTAGCTCTATCGTTATCAGCTTTGTTTTGGATTGGAGGTTTGACCTCCCAATGTGTAGAACTGCGTATCTGCATTAACGTTATTCTTGGTCTGTAACTTTCCAACGACTGAGACTTTAAGAAATGCATTATGGTTTAAGTATTCCTATTGCCGTAGCCAGATGTATACACAACCCACGCAAAATTAGTTGGTGTGGTGATAGTTCATTTGTGACATGCTGTTTGTAAACAGATGCTACTTAAGTTACTTGCAACATAATCTCAACGCATGTAAAAATATACTTTTACACTTATAGGACATGGTTTTATAATATAAACCCTTATATACAAACTCTGCAAGATGTGCACTGTGCTTATCTACAGATCATTACTACTGAGTTTTGTTTCCCGGTTGAAAGTGGGGAGGCCAGATGGACCTGTAGTCTTTGTCATGCTATAGTGTCACAGAGCAAACACCTGTGCTGGTACCTGTCATTTTCCAGATCAGATGCTGCCCAAGTGCTCTATGTATACACACAAAATGACGTTAGGCCCACCAGGTTTTCCCAGAACCAAGCGGGAAGTTCTGACTACAACCCTGCCAGACAAAGTGCCGCAGCATTTCCCAGCTGCTTCCTCTCGCCAGAGTCAAAGGTCTTGGCACCAAGATGAGCAGAAGACTAAGAAGGCATCCACCAC